AATTCTCTGAATTAAAGAGCCAAACTGCAGTTAAAGTCCAACATTTAATAATTTGGCAAATAATTCGACTACAGATGTCCATGTAGGTTAAACACCATCACTTTCTCATGTGTGTGTATTTTGACTGAAACTCGCGCGTGCACAAATAGACACTCCCACACCCTCCCACTTTAGTTCCTCCGACACTCCCCCCTAAACAGAGCTGGACACGCCCACTTTTCTGACTTTTTTCAAAGTAGAGGTGTGAAAACACCCAGCTGAAACGAGGGGGTTTCATGGCCCTTTAAGATCATCAGGTGAAAAAAGACTCGGATCATTCCAGAGTGAGTCATTATGGTGGGTGGAGGTTGAAGTATCCTATCAGAAGTAAGCACACCCTTCTCTCTCTCTTTCCCTCTATACTGTCTCTCTCTCTCTGACACCTGCCGTAACCCTCCAGACCAGCTTGTGGTCAGTCAGGTCATTTCCAGCTCTCCCGCAGCAAACAGTCATACAAATCAAAGCCTGTTTCCAAAATACATTCCTTCCCAGAGCTGCTGAACATGGAGGGAGAGAGAGATGTAGAGACGGAGGGGGAAAGCAGAGGTTTCGAGTTTTGTTTTTGCACGTTCAGGCCTTGGAATCTGAACTGACTAACCTTTCCCAGCAGCTGCTGCTGTTTGAACAATCTGCTGTGATCCAGGCCTGTCGCAGTCCAGAGAAAACAGGCCCTGTGTGTGTGTGTGTGTATTTGTGAGTGTGTGCGTGCATGCTGGCCACAAGGGGGAGCCGGTGGTGACACTCTGTCCTTCTGTCTGTCTCTTTTGACAATGTGCTTGACTGCAAATACAGTATTGATTCATTAAAGCAGGGGTTCCCAAACTTTTCAGCCCGCGACCCCAAAAATAATCATATCAGAAGCTCGCGACCCCAATTTTTCAAGGTGATTGTACTGTAAATATGTATGTAAACGTTGCAGACACAACTATAGGCAAAAATAAACATGAGCTTATTGACAACACAAAAATGCAACAGTCTATTAGCCATATAATGTTTTTTAAAGTCATTCATGGATTTAATTACATTTTGCTTTTAAAATTAAAGGCTGATGGCTGATTGTTATTTTTATGTTGTTGTTTCTTTAATGCAACTATTAACTATATTCTGTCGGTTATGAATAAAATATGGTAATTCTAATAGTTTAATCAAATTTATTTGAGTTTTGGATATCACCAAGCGACCCCTTGTCCGTGTCCCGCGACCCCCCAGGGGGTCCCGACCCCCACTTTGAGAACCACTGCTGTAGAGCAGGGGTTCTGAAATTTTTCAGCCCGCGACCCCCAAAATGACAATGCCAGTGACTCGTGACCCCCAATTTTCTCTGAGGTGGTGGTTATAATTACAGAAACCTTGTATGCAATGACGCACACACACCAATAGACCCAAGTCTATTCTTTGTTTTTGTTTTTTTATGTATGTCAGTGCTGTAAATGGGCTAGAAAGTTTAACCTGGTGTTATAAAATCTGCTGCATCTGAAAGTATTGCTGTGCCTTTAGTATAATGTAATTACTAGAGAAGTCGCAATCCAATAGAACTAGTAACTATAAGCTACTATAGTAACTATATAGTTTATAGTAACTATAAACGACTATTTTTTCTCTTTAGTAGGTTATTGATAAAATACAGTAAGTCTTAAGGTTTATTAAAAATTTATTGATTTTTGAAAATCACCAGGCGACCCCCCTTCATTGTCCCGCGACTCCTCGGGGGGTCCCGACCCCCACTTTGAGAACCACTGCATTAAAGGAGTCGTCAACTGTTTCTATTCATTTACAGGCCCGTTTCACTGTTTCTCAGCAGCAGAAGTCGTCATAGTTGGTAAACTTAGAGCACGGTGAATGTGAGAGCACACATACTTTTTTTGCAATCTTATTTGCTGAAATAATAACAGAAAAACTCCACGATGGTGTTATCAAGACTTTCAGAGAAAGTTAAACAATAGTGTGAGACTGATAACGGCAGCCAGAAGAGAGAATAACCTCAGATTTACCGTCTAGCCTCCATAGACACTAGGGGTGTCAAGATTTAGATTTTTAATCAAAATCGATCGAAATTTATGCTCAACTTCGATTATCGTATCAAAAAATAGAATTGTCGATGCTGCCACGCCCCCATGTCACGTCAGCTTGGCTTGCCAAGCGGGAAAGAAACAGGCTTGTTGAAGTGCTTGTTAAACTGCAGACGCAGGAGACCCGTCGACAGAGCTTTAACCCTCTCCTCTTTCAATGATGTCGCCGGTGTGTAAGCATTTTGGATTTCCAGTGAGTTATGTTGACAACGTTCGTGTTGTCGACAAAAAAAAACACAGTTTTGCAAGCTCTGCTATGTACGTATTAGGGTTCGTCCGATAGACAACACCGGCATCGCGATCCTCCGCCCGCCCCCGTTGCAAATCCTCTCGTGAAAAGTACACACTCAGGCCCTGTTTACACCGTCTTTGTTTTTACATGGCATTTTAGAACGACAACAATTTGACATCCACAGTGGCGTGTAGCATTTCTGAGCAGCCCTCCTTCCTCTCTACCTCTGAAAATGCACATCACGTGACCACACAGACACAGACGCACACACACAGCCATGCGCTCGAGACAGCGGGTTCAGGCAGTCAGAGGATCAGTAGACTGCTTCAATCTTTCACTCACTTGTACTTAGTCATTTTAGCGAACACCTCAGATACTGTTGGCTGGTTCCTGTTGGTTCTGCGTCTTTTTTACCGACGCCATTATAACGACACAGATCACTGCCTATTCACGAGTCCCGCAGAAAAAAGTGATTGACAGGTGGTAATTATGTGTGTATCTTGCCTTTATTCATTTACTGTATGATTTGTTTATGGGTAAAACAAAGACCATGCAGGTCAGGTAGTTTAAACGGTAGGCTACAAATAATTAATTGGTCATTAATTAATTAATTATTCATAATTGAAAATCGAATCGAATCATGCCTTTAGAATCGAAAATGTAATCAAATCGAGGATTTGGAGGATCGTGACACCCTTAATAGACACTGCATTTCAAACGCCTCGCATAACTGGTAATTCGTCTTTTGTTGTAATTTGATGTAAAGATGATGCAATTTATGCGTAAGTACATATATAAGTGCAACCGTTTAAAAAATATCTAAATATTAAAGACCTTCAAGGATTTTAGATGCTGATGAGCGTTAAACGTAAAAAAAGGCTGCATTGGTTTCTATCATTCCTCCTGTCTTTTGTTTTCTGTCAGCATTTCGTCGTGTTTATTATTCATCTTTCTTCATATATTTTGTTCTTCTACTGTCATTATGTTTGTTTCTTTCAGTGGTTCAAAATGTTCTCATTCATTCATTCATTTTCTCGTCGGGGTCGCCACAAAGTGGAATGAACCGCCAACTTATCCAGCACGTTTTTACACAGCGGATGCCATTCCAGCCGCAACCCATTTCTGGGAAACATCCACACACACACACTCATACACTACTGACAATTTAGCCTACCCAATTCACCTGTACCGCATGTCTTTGGACTGTGGGGGAAACCGGAGCACCCGGAGGAATCCCACGGGAATGCTGGGAGAACATGCAAACTCCACACAGAAACATCAACTGAGCCGACCTTCTAGCTAAGAGGCGACAGCACTACCTACTAGGGGTGTCAAAATTAATCGTTTCTTCGGTGCACCGCGATGCAGACGTGGACTATTCGGTATCGGTTCAGTAATTATCATAACCGGTTATTACTGACGTCATTTACCTCATATGCGCTCTGTCGCGAGGGAGGCGATCGCAAGTATTTACAGCGCTTTAACTACTTAAAACTCATAAACTGTGCACAATTTCACTGTGTGTGTTTGCTGGATCAGTCTTTCACTGACATTAACAGCAAAAGCCCCTATTTCACTGAGATCGAGAGAATGAAAGCACTCCATTTCTCTCTCTCTCTCTCTCTCTCTCTCTCACACATTTCACATTTTACATTTTAGGTGCTTTATTGGCATGACAAATTACTGTACATTCGTATTGCCAAAGCAGTGCAGCGTCGCTGCGTACAGACAAAAAGGGCAGTAGTGCAAACAAATATGAACATAAAATATAATATAGAAATAAAGAAAAGAAATGTAAAAAATAAAAATAGATTAATAAAAGTAACAATATATCAGTAAAACTAAAGAGATTAATAAAAAAAATAGATGAATGGTAATTTGTGAAACAGGATAAAAGTGATGATCTCTCTCTCTCTCTCTCTCTCTCTCTCTCTCTCTCACACACACACACACACACACAGTGGCCCATTTGACCTGCTGGCGTGGCTTATCTTCTCCTCTCGGCTGTTTTACAGCGTTACTTCTGGATACAGATACGAGCGCGTGTCTGCAGAGTTTTCTCCACCGTGGCTATCATGCATCAGCTGTGAGATCGCCGCTGCCGCTTATCAGTATCACTCATCTGTGAAGAGCGCAAGAGCCAATCGCAACCGTTTTTGTTGAGGGTGTGACCAATCAAAGAGGTGTAAGACAACTAGACAAGGATCAGAAAGCAAGCTGGATATTTATATTTGTTTATATTATTTGCTAAATGCTCGTGTTGTTTAAAGATACGGTTTATATATCTGACTGTTTATATACAAATAATATATAAATATATTCATACATTTTAATACAAGAACTGCTGCTGTGAAGAAAATATAACACTGTGTATATAAAGCACCGAGATATCGAATTGAACCGAATCGCTGGCATGATAATCGTAACCGAACCGTGAGACTAGTGTAGGTTCACAGCTCTACTAGTACCTACTGCGCTACTGCGTCGCCTCAATGTTTTAATGATTATTATTTATGATTAGTGTATCTCATTCTACTAATATCTCATCCTTTTAGTCGTTGTCTATTGTTACATTTTTTCTTTCACAGAATACATCGATTTTTTTAATGCATTGTGGAAAGCACATTCAGAGTGTGTGATCTGTCTTTGTCTTTCTCTAGGGTCTGGAGGGGAACGTATATGATCATGTGAAGGATTACCTGATATCCTTCTGTCGGACGGAGCTGGAAGCGTTTCAGGCCATTCACAGCACCTTCCAGTTCCTCCTGGAGAAGTCCAGTCGAGTGAGTCTCTCTCTCTCTCTCTCTCTCTCTCTCTCTCTCTCTCTCACACACGCACACACACACTTTCTCTCTCTCTGTCTCTCTCTCTCTCTCTCTGTCTCTCTCTCTCTCTCTCTCTCTCTCACACACAGCTATAGCTGTTAATGCATTTGTGACTAAAATAAATTCTAGTGTGAGTGATCAATGTCCGTTTTGTTTAGAAAGGGAAACAATTTTTCACTGTTTTATGTATTGTAAAAGACTTGCTCCTCTATTTGATCTTTTAAATGTTTTAGTTTCTTTACTTGGCTTTTTATTTACGAAACAATGTTTTATATTAGGTTTTAAATATAAAAGACAAAACAAATATAAATGTCAATTATTGAATTTTATCTTTGGTCAAGCAAAATCAGCTATTTATATTACAAGAAAAAATGAAATAGAAAAGAGGAATGGTAAACACATTGTAGTAGTTTTTAAAAACCTAGTAAAATCAAGAATTATTGTTGATTTTAATTACTATAAAATGATGAAAGCAATTAATGTGTTTAAAATTGAATGGTGTTGCGATGATGGCTTGTGTTCTGTCATTAATGAAGAGCTGTATTTTATAAATGAATTGATTTAAGCTGTAAATCAATTGTTAAATAATTGCTTGTTAATAAAAGGATTTGTAAAATCAAAAAATCTCGCACACACACACACACTCTCTCTCTCTCTCTCTCTCTCTCTCTCTATCTCTCTCTCACACACACACACACACACAATTTCTCTCTCTCTCTCTGTCTCTTCTTATTTTCATCACACTCTCAATTTCCTTCTTTATTCCCAGAAATAGATTCACCCTGCCAGCTCCTTATTATCAGCTCCCCTATGAAGAAATATTCTCACACACACACTTGCACAAACACATCCATGCACACACACACACACACATTCTTACAGACTTTCACACACATACAAACAAACATACAAACGCGCACACACACTAACAACCAAACGCACACACATTATATATGGACACACAATCGCACATCACACACATACATATGCACACACGCATAGACATA